ACTGAGTTCAGGGACTGCCTTTCTGGCCTTGGCTGCTCTTCCCCCAGCAGGGTCCTGGCACACAGTAGGCATGCGGAATGTTCACTGCAGAAATAAACTGATGTCTAAGTGCATCGCCGTGAGTAGTACTGAGGAGCGCTTTTGCCTCAAGTCCTCAGTGTAGTCGTTTTTCAACTATCTTCAATTCATTGTTATTTGATCTTGAAAGGGTTTCACCGAGGCTGCATCTGAGCCCCACTGCTCCGTAGGTATTACACGTGGAGTCGCCTAAGGTAAGACCACAATGTTCCATACAGAATTGCTTCTGAAAGATTCATCTGCAGCTTGGGCTTAGCCCCCAAAGTGCGTTTTTCTTAAAGTATACCTTAAACAATAATAAAAATGCTCATAGGACACCAACCATCAAATTAATATTAATGGTAATAACAACAATAATTGTCTTTAAAGTAATTCATTGAAGCCAAGAAGTAGACAAACCAGTTGACATGCAGTCAGAATTCAATATTTTTCATGAGAAAAACAATTCACTACCAATGACAAATAACAGTAGGACCACTAACACTACCTGTCATGCATCTAATGAAGACAGATTCTCCGGCTACCACATATAATATGTAATATCCAAAAGCACTGCTGTAATTCACAGCTAATTAGTGTCTTGCCGTTATGAGCAGTGTCGTGGCCCTGACTCTCTTTTCAGATCCACTCAGACCTTACAAGAGCAGACAGCCGTGCAAGGATCACAACAACCCAATTAGCACCCACCCCAACCTAGGGCTGCTACTTCTCAGCCCACCCCCACATCCATAAATCATGCTCCTTTACCAAGCTCTTCTCCTCTGACAGCTGCAAGCCATTGTTGCCCAAGGAATAAAGACAGTCCTTCTAAGGAAAACTCATGTGGGAGAGACAGAGATAGAAAAGGGATATAATTTGGCTTCCTTGAGCAGTGCAGCAGTCAGCAAAATTGAAGACCATCAATTCTGACTGATTAAGAGACACATGTACTAAGAAATAAATCCATGAATGGTATATCTGAAGACCCTCAGTGATAATCAACAGTCAGCAATCGAGTTGTTTGTTTGTTTGTTTTAATGTGACTTTACTGAAGACATTTTCTTCCCATTTTTCTCCTGGAAAGCCTTCCCTCTGGCTAATAAGAAAAATGTTCTTTCAGTAGAGCATAATGGTATGCATTTACTTTGTCCCCCAGTGAATATGCAGCAATCAGATAATTTGTTTGAAAGACTCTAAATTGTTTGACTTCATTGAAAAAGAATCTGTAATGATGTGCTGGTCTCCAAGCAAGGGCTACAAAGCTTTCTAAATCCATAAGCAAGCTCTGGAGTGTTTGCAGCACATAGCCAATATCCTTGTAATTTTGTTCTAAGCCTATAAAGCTGTTTTGTTCCATAATATTCTACTTAGAAAGAATTCTGAACAGTCACTGTAGCCTGGGTACTATTCAGATATGACGCAGGTAATTCTGCTTTTAGTTTGTTTTCCTCATGAAACAATCACTCTTCTATGTTTTTAAGGTTAACCAAAAACATTTAATCTAGCTGCCACCTTATTTGATATATAAATGTTGACAAAGGTAAACAAACCAACAGGGATGCATTTAAATAAGGAATTCCTTTATACTCTTCTTATTAAGCATGGAAATTTCCAAAAGTTTTAATTTTCTTCCTCTGAGTATAATATTCTCATGGAAATCTTCAAACAGTAAAATATTTATCTACAAGATGTCCACTGTATCATATTTTACAACACAATAATGAAAATGTACAAGGTATAAGTCAAGTAAATGATAATACATCCATACATGGAAAGTTATGTGACTTCTATAAATAATCATGTAGAAGAATATTAAAGGACATGCAAAAACATTCACAAAATATGCAGGGCAGAAGTAAGAAAAGCAGAGCCTAAAACCATACTATACATATACACACAAATATGTGAGTAGACCTATCTATAAACACACACATATTTGTGCATATAAGTATACATATGTGTATGTGTATATAGACGTGTATATATAGTATATATCTATACAGTATATATATTTATATACTATATATATTTATATACAGTATGTACAGTATATATTTATGTACTGTGAACCTGAAAGAGCCAATCTCAAGTGGTTAACTTGGCCTAAATTTAAAACAGAGACAGGTCATGATGGTTCATGCTTGTAATCCCAGCACTTAGGAAGGGTGAGGTGGGAGGACTGCTTGATCCCAGGAGTTCAAGACCAGCCTGGGCAACATAGCAACAACTTGCCTCTACAAAAAAAGAAAAATTAGCCAAGTGTCATGGCACGTGCCTATAGTCCCAGCTTCTTGGGAGGCTGAGGCAGAAGGGTCGCCTGAGCCCAGGAGGTTGATGTTACTGTGAGCTGTGATTCATGCCACTGCACTCCAATCTCAATTACAGAGGGAGATTCTGACTCAGTCAATCCATAAATAAAATAGACCACTTGCTGACTAGAGGACACACTGTCCTCTAAGCTCCCCGAAAACCCATTAACTCTGGTGCTTTCAGAGTTCACCTGCCTCAGCCAGTAAGAATTTAGCTGTACAGACCAATCAAGGTTCAGTTATATCAGCCAATCAGAGCTCAGGTGTATCAACCAATCAGGGTTCAGTCATATCAACCTATCAAGGCTCAAATATAGCAATCAATCTGGGCTCAGCTGTAATGACCATTCAAGGCTCAGTTGTAATGACCAATCAAGGCTCGACTGTATCAACCAATCAGAACTAAGCAAGTAGAATCCTGTATTTGCATAACCAGCCCTGCTTGGGAACTTGGGACAGTGACTTACTATAACCCAGATCCTCCCTTTTTGCTAGGATACGCCTTCACTCTGCCCAAAGGCTGTGTCTCCAGGGCCTGCAAGCTTCACCAGAATAAAAAGTCTCTTTCGTCCAAAATCCCTTTCAGAGAACTTCTGTTCACAATACAAACATAAATACACATATGTATTCTATTATTCCCAAGATGATCGCAACTTTGTTTTCTGTGTATGGGGGTATATGTAGGTATAAATGTATAAATAAATATGTCAAGAATTTACTAAAATCCTGACAGGAGAGGTATTTCAATATTTAAATTTTCAGAAAGTCATATTCTAGATTATTCTTCTTTAAGCTGCCCTGTTTATATAAAATTTTCATACTTCTTTCATAATCAGAATAAAGAAACAATATATGAAATATTCAGGTATATCACCTGGGTATATACCAATGTGCATTGATAGGAATCCCAACCCATGGAACACGTGCTCTGAGTGACTAATGCCCATCTCATATCAGTCATTCAATATTTCGATTATCATCCTGGGTATAAGCAACATGTAAAAGGTAAATGACACATCTTTTTTTTTTTTTTTTTTTTTTCCGAGTTGGAGTCTCACTCTGTCGCCCAGACTGGAGTGCAGTGGCCACTTCCAGCCACCGCAGCCTCAACCTGCTGGGCTCCGGTGATCCTTCCGCCTCAGCCTTCCAAGTAGCTGGAACTACAGGTGCGCACTACCACTCCCGGCTAGTTATTTTTTTTATTTATTGTAGAGATGAGGTCTCACCAAGTTGCCCAGGCGGGTCTCGAACCCGCGGGCTGAGGCAATTCACTCACCTCAGCCTCCCAAGGCACGGGATTACAGGCTGAGCCACCGAGCCCGGCAAATGAGACATCTTAAGCATATTTTGAGAATGGCCATCAGAACAGCAGTTTCTAACCCTTTATACATGGCACTAAGAGTGAATTTGAATCCACACCATTCTGGAATCCCAGACCCACTCAGTGTCAGAACAGGCAGGAAGGGCAGAACATGGTAGCTCACACCTGTAATCCCAGCATGGAGGCCAAGGCAGGATAATCGCTAGAGCCCAGGAGTTCAGACCTTCTGATAAACTGCCTCAGCACCACAACCCTGGAATCGCTCCAGCTCTGACCTATCCACCCTGAGGGTTGGGACTACCAGGTGTATAGAAGGACTATGGGTATAAAATATACACAGTCTAGCCAGAGTTCAGTCAGGTCCAAATCCCCAATACGTGGAACCAGGGCCTGCTTTAGGGTGGGGCTGTGGAGGCCACCCTGACTTCCAACTCAGGAGCCAGACACGGTGAGGCACGTGCCATCGCGTCTAATAAGCGCTGAGTGGGGGCAGCAAGAAGGAAGGAAGGAAGCAAAGTTTCTTTCCCCAGGAGGTTTACTAGCTAAACACAGTACATAGAATACATGCTTCAGGGGGATAACACACACGACAGGCCTAGACAATGCAGAACAGAGCAAGAAAAGAAGAAGTCTCACATTCAGAGATAGTGCAGTCTTTAAGAAAAGACATTACGCCCCATGCAAAAAAAAAAAACAAACAAACCTATAAACATAGATTTTTGAAAGCAAAGACATACACGTAAGTACCTTCAACCCTTAAAGATACTTCTCAGGTTCCCCATGCTCCTTTTTCCCTAGGGCAGTGTAAACATGAATTTGATCCTTCTTAGGTGAAAAACTGTATTTGACCAAATGTTACATGTTATGGGGTTATTTAAATGGATTTGCATTAAGTATGTCCATTCGCTTTCGATTTACCAGGCAGAGACAAGTGAAATGCAAAAAGAAAAAAAAAAAAATTGGTACTGTGGCAATCTCAGTGCTGATACTATGTAGTTTTGGCTTCTCACTGATCATTTCTCTAACAGGAGCCCAGGTAACGCAAAGGTGAGAAAGGATAGCCAGATTCATGTATTTTCCATCTCCTACCTAGAGTGTATATATCTGAAATTGTTTATGGAGACTTCTAGCTTTAATCATGTTTTTGCTGATTTTAATATTATTCTTAAGTAGTTTAGTAGATTTAATGTTGGTGCTACTGTGAAAATAAGAAATAAGGCAAATTTAAAATTATCACATCCATGCTCACACAGCAAGTTCATAACTGCAGACTCTTGAACCAATATTGGAATCACACAAAACAATGCCCATACCTGAAATAGCTAAATCTCCTTTGTGGCTTTCACTTTCTCTGATTAAAAAGGCACCCGTCTGGTTTTCTGAATACAATAGTTGTTTTTCTGCATCTGCTCTCTTGGTTGCTCCAAAGAACCACCTAAAAAGAGAGATATGTAAACTTTAATTAAGCAAACATTCATTTTTTTAAGGAGCAAGAAGCTTGGCAAGATAGTGTTCTAACATCAAAAACAGTTAGTTATATTCTTTAGTGAAACTATTGCAGGTATAAATGGTAGCTTCTGACACTTGAAATGGTTTTTCAGGATGCCTATAACTCACACCAGGATTCATTTTTTAAAAATTACAAGCAGGAATTTGATTGATGCCTGCTACCATGTCTCTTCTCAGATCTGCATTTTGTCTGAGAGGTCCTGTGCCCATCCCCCACCATAGTCAAAGCCCACCTCGGGTCTGCCATGTAAGCCAGTCACATTTCAAACTCTGAAATTACTCGTCATCACCATGCATCTCTCCACTGCCTCACCTGATACCTCTCAAAGTTGGAAGGCAAATATTTTCATCAAAGGATTCATATTCTTTACATTAAAGTGTGAACAATTTAAAATGTAGTTCTCTTCTTCTCCCTGCTTTGGAATTTTTTTAAAAAGTGTAGTTCTCTGGACATTTAAGAAATGATTCCATAAATCAGGAGCAAGCATTTTTGCCTAGGAGATAGCTTCCTAATGCCATCCCCACCTCTTGTCTTTTCCCTCTCATCTACCATTCTAGAAATATGAGCCAGATACCGAACACACAAGTTCATGAATGTGACCATTCCCAACAAAGACTCATGGAACATCAATATCAGAGCCCATCTGAAAGATGTATCAGGTTGACAGGAATCGATGTGATCTAATCAGAGGGCGCTGGAACACCTGCTTTTCACAAATGACCTCTCATCGTGGGGCCATGAAGGTGACCATCATTATTAAAGACTTTATATAAACTACTGAACTTTTCAGGTATCCTTGTTAAAAATGGAAACATCCCAAGAGGAAATGCAGGCTTGATGGAAGAAACAGACTGGGAGAGAAGATGCCGATTATCAAAAGCTAGCTGGAGTCTGACAGGTGATGAGCATTGGAGTGCACTACAAGTGACGCAGTTGAAAGCAGGTTGAAGGGAAAGATTTTGAAAGAAAAACATTCAGATAAAAATAGAACCTTCTAGCAAATGCAGGGTGTTTGTTTACTGTTGTCCTAATTATCAATTAGAAATTACGTCACATTAACTACATCTGTCAGAATATGCCAGGTCATCTTGGAGTAATGAACAACTCCAAAATCTCAGTGGTATCAGACACCAAGGAGTTATTTTTTCTTTCAGCTCCATGTCTCTGCTCCAAGTCTCACTCAGGGAGTTTCTAGCTCCATGCATTTATGTTTGCTGAGCCAGGATTAGAAAATGTAGCAAATCTCAGGCGGGTTCCTACAGCTTCTAAAGAGTCTACTCAGGGATGAACTCACTGGCAAATAAACCACACGGTCTGCTTAAATCCAAAGAGTAGAAAGTGCAGTTCCCCTATTTTCCAGTAGGCAGAGAATTGGAAGCATTTGGTAGACTACACTAATGACTGCACATTGATATCAGGGGTCCAGCTGATGTTCACAGGGTATTGTTTTTCCAATCGAAACCATGGGCGGCATGAAAACATTCTGAAGTGGCCATGGAATGAATTCATAGAAAAACAGAAATGCACATTTTCTGCTATTGCAGAAATAAGTCAATAGGATACTAGAACATAATAAAAATCTCAAAAAGACCTAAGCATACAAATTAGTGATGAAAGGATGAATGATTCAGTAAATAATGCCAATACCATTAATAACGTATGGGAAAAAATTGATGTCTATAGGATAGACAATAATTCCACATAGATGAAAGACATAACATGAAAGGTCAACTTCAGAACTTTCTGGAGACAATGGGCTAGAGAGGTTTTCTCAAGCAAGACAAAAGGAAAAAGATATTCAAACCTTAAGGGGAAAGTTTGATAATATTCATTACTTCACTGTTTAAAACACTGCATAAATAAGATTACCATGAAATAAAATTAAAATACAAGTCGTGAGCCTGGAGAAAATATTTGCAAATTACATAAACCCAAATAGGATTAGTATTCACATTATATTGAGATCCATAATCAACAAAGATAACATAGTAGAAAAATTGGCACCGGATATAATTGGACAGTTCACAGAAAAGCAAAACCCAAATAGTTAATAAAAATAAGAAAAGAAACACAGCCTCTATTTGGGCTGGTGATTAAGAATATTAGCAATATTACATATAAAACTACCACGAAGTACAGTTCTATACTTTTCCAAATTAAAAACTCTCACATTATCAGGTACTGGGGAAATTGTGAAACAAGACCCTTTATATAAATCCAGTGACAACACAATTCGTACAACTGATTGAGAGAGCACTTTGGCACTATCTGGTAAAGCTGAGTGTCTGTACCCTGTTCAATGTCATGAGCTCAAGGAGACACACTACAGAATTCTCCACTGGAGAATTATAGCAGTGAGACATTGGAAACCGTCTAAATGTCAATTACAGGAGAATAGGTAGACAAACGGCTATAGATACAAAATGAACTACTGTATAAAAATTAAAGAATTAAAGCAGTAGAAAATTAAAAATTAAAGCAGTAGCCAGCAGTCCCAGCTACTCAGGAGACTGAAGCTGGAGGATCGTTTGAGCTCAGGAGTTCAAGGCTGTCGTGCACCAGATTGTATCTGTGAATAGCTACTGCACTCCAGACTGGGCAATATAGTGAGTGAGACCCTGTCTCTAAAAAAAATAAAAATCAATAAATAAAATCTAAAAAAAAATGACTCAGGGATGAAAGGAAGTTGAAAATGATACACACCATTGTAATAGCATTTATATAAAGTTTAAGCAAAAACATTTAAAAACTGTACATATTTTTATAAAAACATGCACATTTAGTGAAAGTCAATGGTTAAAGTACTCAAGCATTTCCGGAAATGGCAACATTTCTTCACACAAATATTTCAAGCAAAGAAGCAATAATGGTCAAATATACTGATCAACTCAATGCCTTTTCTGATTAAAAGTACATTGATTGTGCATCAACCTTTAATTGTTTGATAATATATAAGTATATAAATCTTTATAAGAATTTATCTAGCAAACTAAATTCTCAGAATTACGATTATATTTACTATATCTCATTGTTCTCAATAATAAATGCTCCATTATATAAGTTTATGTACATACATTTGTATTTTACATCATCAAGTCTATAAATGATGTGTTTTCTCTGACCAATATAAGTAGAAGCAAGCAGTTTTGTAAATCAAATGATTGAAGATAATGCAATTTTACTACATTGTAAAGGAAATTGATAGTAAAAAGTTTAAAATTCTTTTCTGTCTGGACAGTTTGGGGCTTTAGTATAATTACTGTACAAGGCAGATCACACAAGTGTAGAATCCATGGTAAGGATGAAATGAATATACGTGTTTGACTGGATGCAAGTTACACAATACGGGGATTTTGCTTGGTTGAGCTCCAATGAGGAAGTGAACAGCGTAAATAATCAGCTGTCTTCTGGATGTAGTGGCATTATATCACCACCCTTTATACTCAAAGGGGACGCAGCAGCCAGGCTGCCATCTCCGGCACACGTGCTGCTGGGAGACTCATGGGCAGATGATGGAGCGGTTCAAGCTTTGCACAGGTGAAAACTGCTGTGTCATTGAGGTCTGAACCGACTGTTATTCTGTTAGCCCTGCCTTTTGCAGCCCCTGCTGGCCACTGGCTGGAAGGGCACACGCACCCCAGGCCTGGCTGTCCACCACAGCCACTACAACACCCCCTTTAAGCTGCAGTTCTGCGTGCTGTCAGCAGTTAGTGCAGAGAGGAATTAAGAGACCCTCGGAGGTCTAAGGTCTCTCAGGAGAGCTGTGCATGCCCAGGAGCTTCCAAGCACAGTCCCCAGGGCAGGAACTTCAGCATCCCATGAAAATGCAGACTCGTGTCTCACTCTGTACCTGCTGAATCGTAAACTCCAGAGGTGGAGCCCAGCAATCTGAGGTTCAATCAGTCCCCCGGGTGATCTGATGCACACTGAAGTCTGAGAACTACTTACATATAGAAAAAGTAATTAATCCATGTAGAAACTTACACAGGATAGCTAGAGTAAGTTAGAGCTTGGCACTTGGGTATGAAAATCATCCCATGAAGTTAGACTACATGAAAACACACTCACATTGTGCTGATGTTTAACGAAAATAATCTTTTTACCATATGATGCCATGAAAAAGATCTTGATTGATTATAACCCATAGGAGGAGATCCATGATAGCCATGTCCTGTGAGAAAGAAATGCTGCAATTAGATAAAAAACAGAACTATAAGTATGATGCCTGGTTTGGGAAGAAAGGTATGTGGCTTAAGTCAAACTTATTTTAGAAACATTGTCAAGTGTCTACTGTGAGTCAGTTCTGTAGCACTGACAAAGAAAGATCTGTAAGATGTTTTGTTTATAAAAGGTGTAGTGCAAAGTAACAAGAGTGTTACCATTTCATGTATATTTTTTAAACTAACAAACCAAAAATCACATGTGCTTATTTCTCTGGAGATTAGTGACAGCTGACAAAAATGCTGACACAGTGTTTTCACTTTTTACTCTGTATTCTTCTCTATAACTTGGGTGTTTACAGCAAAATGTAGTTGGAGATTACTTTAAAATTTATTTAAACAAAAATTAAAATAGATCAATCAGGAATATGCTTCAAAAATGTATATGTCATAAAGGTCTGCACTAGAAATGCTGGCAGTGAGAATTGATTGCTTCAGGAAAAATCCCCAAGGAATGTGAAACAGGTGATCATGGATGGGCAGGGAACAGATGGAAGACCCTCCATGACACCAGGATTCAAACCTGGAAGTCTAGAGGACAATATGCCCCGCAATGCAACAAAAGCAGAAAACAGCCCAGGCCCACAGCATCTCGCTAGGAAAGTGACTGAGCCTCTGAATACTCAATGTCCTCATTCGCTAACAGGGATGATGATAATTTCCTCATAGTCTTGTAGATTAGGAAAAGTAATACATGCAAAGGGC